TTTTTTTTTTTTTGTATTTCTGTTAATACTTGACTTATCATTTGGCTTTTTTTCAGCGTGATGTTTTTGTTATTGATGTTTTTCTTTTAATATGTTTTGACTTATCGCTTTGTTGTTTTATGCTTTTCTAATCACATAAATGTTATTTTTATGATTTATACTGTTTACCATTTTATACCTAATACCGGGATCATCCAGGCATTAGTGCGGTATCTAATGTTGGAGATGTTATTAGGATATTCTTACGCATTGCATGCATTTACACCAAACCCTTCAGTCCTGACTGCATATCTCAAAACTGTCTGTTCGACACGTGTACGCCAGTTTCTCAGAAACCGCCAGAGAGGCCATGTTTGTCCAGTACATTCACTACAAAATACATGGATATTTTGGTGAGCAATCGTTTCATCAATGCGTCTCTTCACGCCACAAATGCAGCTCGCAACTTCTCCATTTTTCTTCAGTTTGATCTTTTCTAGATGATAAATGTCTGTGTGAAACGGTGGAAGCCGCAGTTCTGTGCGGGTTGTGCATGAATTGTGCCATTAGTTGCACTAAAATTATTTATTCATTTAGGAAACTGAGAAGCGCTGCACATTGGGTGTTTTTTTTTTCTCATTCTCCGTGAAAAAATTCAGTTTAGTGCAATCGGAGAGTAGAAGCGCGTGAAAATACCACAGAAACCTGCTTTTTGCGCGGCTGTGATTGCATCATCAAATAAAAACGGCCGCCGATGCAGCAACAATACCAGAAAGGCTTCTTTTTTTCCCCTATGAGGACAAAAAAGTGTCTGGAATTGAAGGAAGCGAAAATAGGAACGATTTTTCTGTTAAATCGATCAACATATATTTGACGAGCTGTGTATCAGCAATACGAATTTTAATGCCTAACAATTTAATTTTGTAAGGGCTCGATTATCAATCGTTTCGTTGGCTGGGTCAAATCCGTCTGAAACTTATACAGGAATAATTCTTGAAAGAGAAAGCCATCGACAGCCTTGTCAGTTAGTGGTTGCTGTTGGCATTTGCTCCGTCTTTTATGCAGATGAATAGAGAACTTTTGATTTTTGGTTAATCACTTCATTTGATAGCAAAGTCAGAATTCTTTTTTGAAAACAGTATCGAATTTAACGAAAGAGGAAAAGCATAAGAAGAATAAAGGAAAGGATAAGGGAAACGGCTCCCTGAAAAATGTGTGATAATACTTTTGTTTCGGAAAAATACAAAGCATAATTAAATTCTTTTTTTTTTTTGCAACTTACATTAACATTAACAAGGAGGGAGGCGCACACGCCAAATTTCGTTGAAAAAACTACAGCAGAAAGTTCTTACAACTAAAATTGTCAATAATGAGTAAAAATTTATATAATTTCTATTTCAGTAATCACTTACTGCAAAGTATACTCCAATAAAAGTGTCGTGTGATGCACCAGTCTTGCCAAGATTTCCAAGACAATCAATGCACATGCGGGATCGCCACTGTAGAGCGTAACTCTACGTCCAGCGCAGCTGTGCCAAGCTCTCTTGATCAGCTGTGACCACGAAAGTCGAACGTCCACTCAATAACTACTACTTCTAGCCATCTTATCTCTAGCGGAACAA